ACTAACATATTGTGGGAAGTAAACTGTAACCAAAATCCTTCCCACTCAGCTGATGTCTTTCTGTCCAACAGCTCCTTTTCTAGACTTGTAAGAGTTTGATGTGATGTGTGGAGTGCTGATTCAGAGCCTCAAAGAAATAGGTGGTCTCTTTTTAAAACACATAATTGAAATGTCATCATTACATAGGGTGAGACGTTCGGCCATACGGGAGGGGCTCAGGGTAGAGCCAGGAGCAGACTCAGGACACGCTGGAGAGATTACATCTCTCAGCTGGCTGGCTTGGGAATGCCTTGGTGTTCCTCCGGACAAGCTAGAGGAGGTGGCTGAGAGAGGGAGCCTGGGCTTCTCTGCCTAGGCTGCTTTCCCCATGACCCAGCCCTGGATAACCAGAAGAAGATGGATGGATGGATAAAACAGAAAGTTCATTAAATGTAAAACAGTTTGCTTAGTCGCTAAAGAAAGACTAGATTTAACATTAATAGATGTCACAGATGTCCAAAAACAACCATAAAAAATTAAAATAAATACAGAGGTTAAGAATGTACAGTCCATGTTATAAAAGTGGATTAAAACAAGCCCCACCCCTAACGGCTGCACCTTCAGAAAAAGTTTCGTCTCGGCTCTTATCTAGTAGCTGCTCACTTTTCTATTTCAAACAATCAACAGAAAATTCACTGAGAGATTTTATATAAGGTTTTTAAGCTGTGGGTTAATTTAAGTACCATGAGCCGAGAGGCAACACCAGTCTAACACTAGCTAGCTAGCAAGTTATAAACCTGGTGCTAATCTGAGAGAAGGCACAAAACCAGTTTGAATAAGAGTAACACTTACTCACCAAGTCAGTGAATCACATAAAGAATCACAGCAATGCCAACAATGATCACTTAAGCTGAAGCTTCTCCAGCTTTGCTCAACATATCCTCTGGGTGCTTTAGGGTGCTCCATCTAGTGACGCTATTACTGGGAGACTTAAACACTCATGTGTGCAACAACAGTGAGAGCTGGAGGGTGTGACTGAGGGACCTCTGTGCAAACCACAGTTTGTCCATAATGAACTATAAATGATATATGTAATATTTCCAAACTGTTAAAATGTGTTCGGTTTGCTGATGATACCACTCTGTATTGCTCAGGTAATAACCTGGAACAGCTTCTGACTACAGTGGAAAAGAACAGTGGAGAATATACAAAAAAATGGTTTCATATAAATAAGTTATTGTTAAATATAAATGAAATAATATGTATTATTTTGGCACCAGACAAATGAAAAATGTATCTAAATCAGGGTTAATGGAATTGAAATTGAAAACGTGTACGAAAAAACATTTCTAGAGAGATAATTGATAAGCTTTGTTGGAAGTCCCATATAAACCATGTGTGTCACGGTCTGGTGGCAGACCGTGGGGATGTTGGACCCAAACGCTGGACTTAGTGCAATGAACAGTGCATTTATTTACAGTGGGGGCAAATGTACACCATGCAATAAGTCTCCAGAGTGCTCCCTCAACTCCTGTGTTGTGTCTTGTCCCAAGTGCTGGTATTCCGTGCTCTCTGCTCCTGTGCCTACACACACCCCGTGCATCCTGCAGTCCCGTGTTCCGCTTTCCTGAGGAAAAACGACAGACGCAGCTGTTATGGCACCAACTCCAGCAGGCATACACTGAACAGCACTATAAACACTGACATGGAGTCTAACTCAACGATCCTGCGCCGGAGGAAGCTCCCTCGCTCTGTTAAGTAGCTCCCCCGACGACCTGATCAGAAGCAGGTGTGGGAACCTGGCGTGACCAGCAGCTGGCAGGGCCACACCCATCAGGCCTGCAGGTGGCTGTCCTTCATCCTCCAGCCACACACACACGTACACACACCAGCATGGAACACAAGAGCACAGTGCAGCAAACATACCTCCAATACAACAATAATAATAACAATAACAATAACAATAATGGTCCACACTCTTCACGGACCCCGAGTCCCTGGAACCGGATCCGTGACAATGTGAAAACAAAAAAGTTAAAAACCGTTGCTATTCTGTACAAAACAAAAGATGTCCTGAGCAAGAATTCATTATAGACGCTTTATTGTTCTCTTTTGCTTCTGCTAATAGCTTTTTGACTAGCCTTATCTCCTGCTTTCTTGCTTTGTGGTAGATCTTTATTCTGTATTCACTGAGAGATTTAAATGTTAATCAAATAAATAAATTAGATAAGTGCACGTGGCTCCAAGATACTGTGGGCCACGGGTCAATGATCAATTTGTAGTCGTATCATCAGATCTGCAGCCTAATGTACTGGACATGGTTGAATAGAGGGGCTGAGCTGTCAACTGATAAACACCTGGTGCTGAGTTGGATCAGGTGGCACATCTAAACATAGTGAGGGTGCTCTTGGAATGGATGGTCCGTGAGATCTTCTACTTCAGTAGAGCTCAACAGCATTCTGAGGGAGACCGGGCCCTAATTTCCTTCAGGATTACAGTTTTTTCTGATTGCTTAAGCACATTTTTGTAACCATTGGCTAATTTGCAAAACTCTTCACACAAATAAGAAAACCTGTCACCCAATCATCAAAACATTGTAGTTCTCTTGCAAAAGCAAACACAGCTAGATTAACTCTTCACACCTTCGTAAAAATGGTGTTTCCGTATCAAACAGTACACACAAGCCATCATCTACTAAGCACACAATGCGCCAACTGCACACTGATGGTATGAATACAAAACACATCTGGCTTTTGCTTTCTCTGTGCACAAGGTAGGCTATGTCAGTTTGAGCTCATACTTCTGTCATAGATCCATAAGCATAGAGGGATCCAAACTTCAAGTACTGCTGTTTATTCAAACACATCAAAACAAACACAAGTGTTTATTTCCAAGTATAGGATTATTTGCAATAATGACTATATGGGTTACTTGGTCTGCAGTGAACATGCTTCCTCTGCCCCCAGCATCTGGTCATCTAGCAATTCTGTAAAGTAACAATTTCAGTATTTTACATCAATGGTATTGGTGTGTTTCTCATTGGCATATGGCAGTGCTACAAATCTTTGTGCGAAGTGACTGTACTCACCGATTCTCATTTCAAGATGTCCTTATGGTGCTTGCTACAGTGTAGCGGCTCAGTTTAGGCTGGACCCGTTGGCCAGCTCCCTCAGGGTCATTCCACGGTTGATGACATGGTCCACTATTGTAGCTCTGATGTCATCAGCAATTCTATTTCTTCCTACCCTTCCTCTCCCCCCTCCTCATCTTCCTCTCCCCCTCCTCGTCTTCCTCTTGCTCCTCCTTGTCCTTGTCGTCCTCTTCATCCTACTTCTTCACCTCCACGTCCTCTTCCTCGGCCTCCTCTACTTCTCACTCTTTCTGCTCCCTCCATTGTACTCCGCACACACAGCTTACCTGTATTATAGTGCTTAGGCTGATTGCAAAGTGAACTAATTATCTAAAAAAGTTTTCACATGTGAAAGTGTGCCAGACAGTTGGCAAATTAGAGTTAATGATAGCCATACATGTGTATACTTTTGCTAGGAGTGTGTTGGAAATTTGGTAATTGAGTGTTGTGCAGTGAATTGTGCCTACAGTTTTGCAAAGTGTGTGTTACAAAATTGCAAACTGAGTGCAAAGCAGTTTTTGTGCTTTTAGTTTGCAAACTCAGTGAGTGGTTTTGCTATAAGTCTGAATAGTTTTAGAGATTGTGCTACAGGAATCACAGTTAGGGTTTAAGCATTCAGAAAAAACTGTAATAAAGTACACTGTAAAAAAAATCCGTAAAAATACAGTACAATCTACTGTATAAACGTGAAGGAATTTTCCGTATTAGTCATTTACAGGTATTTTTCTGTATTTCTCAACTACTGCAATGCATTGTGGGAAAAAGAACCTGAAAAGGAGGGAAAAGTAAGCGCAAGAGCAGCCATTAGGCTTCTTTCAGGCTTCATCTGGATTTTGGATTCTGAAGTTGGGAGAAACTGCCTTCACATTTCTGTGGTAAGTATTAAAACTCATGTTCGTTTTATTAAAATAATGTTTTTCAAAGACTCCGTGTTTTTATTTAGAAAGAATTGTTAATTTATTTGTTAACTGGTTTCGGCTGTCTCCAGACAAGTCAGGAATATTTTGCTGACTCATTTTTTAAAATAATTGTTATTTAGGTTTAACATGACTTAAGCTTTATTTTAGTTAATGTTAAAATAATTTTTACTGTGATACCACCAGTTTTGCCCTTCAGTGGCTGAACCAGTTTTCATAAATATTATAGTTAGCTGTCTGTGTCTCTCTGGGTATTACACAGCTGTGACTGCTAACTAGCTAATTAGCGAAAGTCAGCGATGTGGATAACTGGGAAAGTGAGAACTTCATGGTTCTAGAAATTATTCTAGGACTCTAATAAGTACTGTATCAATACCTGTGTTTTACAGTTGGCTCTACTGTACACTTTAAAGGGTTTCAGGCAAAGTTACACTAACCCTAGTTTAAGCCTCAGACCTTCCTGGCTGACGCTAGCAAATGCTAATGTTAGCCTCTGATTTGGGCTGCTAAAGTAAAGACTTTTAGCTAGCTGACCAGCATAGATTATTTCGGTGGTTAACAGACTGTAGTGGTAAAATTATTGAAAGTATAGTTTCACCTCAGCACATTTACAATTACAGTATGTCTATTTTGTAGCACATAGAAATGTTTAGTTAATATTTACAGACAGACACATTTCCCTGTAACTGTGTTTTTACTCCAACATTTGTTGAAAATGTCATTTATGAAATGCTGAGCAGTATTTCTTGTATGTGGAATATTTTTGTCACCCCACTGTGCTAATGTGATTAAATACTAAAAATTATTACTAAAAAAATTCAATAATAAATCAATAATAACTATTTCTTGATTGAAATAGTAAGTGCAGTGCTGGTGTGCAGGGGCTCTATATGCCTTGTCTATATCAAGCTTTTAGACAAATATAAGCAGAGATATTTGTATCTTTCTTAAAAATCCAGATCCTTACAGATTAT